AAAAGCCTGCAGTGGACAGTAAAATCCATGGAGCCAGCAACCATGATTGTTTTATTCATCACTATGTACCAGAACTTGGAACAGCACCTGTCACATAGAATTCAACACCTATTTATAATCAATGGATTGATTATCTCAGGGGCTCACAAACTTTCTCAGTTCTCAGTAGTTTAGGATCCCAATAATTTTTCATGGACTCCTTCAACAAAAAGAAATAACTAACAGTTTATTAAACAACAAAATGCCAAAAGGCTCTACCTCTTAATAGCATCACCTTGGTGGCTGGAATTTCAACATGCGAATTTGTGGATGATTCAAATATGCAGTCTGTAACACTTTTCAAACTAGTAGTTCTGTTGATGCCCAACAGATATTGCTAAGTTTCCCTAGAAATTTAACATATCTCTCAGTGCTCCTGAGAGTTGCTACTCGGGAACCTCAGGATTCACTTAAAATAAATGAAAAAGTTGTCCATTAAATTTTTAATTTCAGAACTTTTACATAGAAAAAAAAACACTCTTTTACATCTTCACTATAGAACAGAAAAGGTACCAACAAAATTATAAAAATTAGTACATATACCCTGAGCGATGTTACTGTTATTAATTACATAAGTTTTACAAAATATTTCCCATAATAACAATTAATTGACCAATTCCAAGTTTTTCAATTTTATTCATCAGACTTATAAACAGACTAAATATAAACTTTAAAACAAGGTAAGGGCAGATTTTAGATATATAAAGGCTAAGGCTGCTATTCTGTGACATAATACAGAAACACTACAGTTTCCAACATTTCTGTTATCAAATAATATAGATGAGCTTTCAAAAGCAAAACAAGCTACATTGGCCTTCTTTAACTTCAAATATTTTTAAAAGTGTTATTATTTTATTTATATATTGCATACAAGATAAAGAAATGATTTTATGTTGCTGGTTTCAGTGCCATCGTGTAGTATGTCTCCAAGGAGTCAGCAATTTACAATCCTGACTGCTCTCAGCTAAGCTGTGGCTAACCACACAGCAGCAGAGGATAGGAAAGTGCTTTTAACAATAGCACAAACATGTCTGCACTTCAGCATAGAGCTTTTACTGATATACTTCTTAGGTACTCAAGGTAACAATTTTCCACAGATCATAGTTCTAAATAATGTCGAGTTAATTTTCTAGCATTATTCAGACAAAACCAATAAATAGAAAGATCGCATAGAAGGATGGATAAATTTGAGAGAGAAGTGTGGTAAAAATATAAAAGCTAGTTTTTATATAGATTGACATCCTAGTTTATTGTAAATAAATTCTTAGTTATTTCTATTGTCGACCATACAGTATTGAAAACAGCCGTGGCTATTTAAGTCTACTCAAAGGCTTAGAAATAGCCAGTCTATAAATGTAATGTGAAAATTATCTACTGTCCTCTGATTCTGACTAAAAATGTAATCAGGTTTACAATTATAATCATACATGAATGAATCCAAGTTTAAGGAAGACTTTAGCCCAGTTCAAGTATTCCTCTTTATTTCTGGAACCTTTAAAGAGACATTACATCAAAGCGCAAAACCTGTCTGTCAGCTGGAGCCATTATAAGTGGGACAGATTTTCTCTCTTGCACACTGCTCAACCAATAGACATCCAATGTGGGAAGATATTGAACATTCGCATGGTTATTACTGGTTTCATTGTACCCGCATTACTTTGTGGATGAGGTCTTCCTTGAGCAGAGTAAAATAAATCATTGACTTACTATAATACTTTGGTAAAGAAAACCATAAGATAATGGGTATCTCCCGTTATGGTGTTCATTTGAAAACATTGAAATACTGTTGGCCTTTTTGGGGTTTTCATTATTGATCTAAAAGTTTTGTTTCCCTTTGAAGGATTTTTAAAAACCATTTTTTATCATTTTCCAACATATATCTCCCGGGGCATTAGTTATCCATGACTTCCAATATATCATGTTATCCTTGGAGATACTTTCCAAATACATATTTCCATTATGATGATTTTGCTCCTCCTGTGTTCGTTTATGCTTCATCATCTACAATGCCTCAAAAAGGTGGGTTTCAATATCAAGTTCTTCTCCACTGGGCATCACCTAACGATGATGCCCTCAACAGCAGAGGTATTTCTTTAGTTTAGGTTTCACATTATGCATTACCAATTAGAGGTAGATTTTTGTTTGTTTCATTTTGTTTTGTTCTGTTTTAATACAGCCTTGTACTGAATCACACTAAATGGCATCTGTGATTGAGGCTTCAGGATTGGGTCTTGGTTGACAATACTTATGAATGTTAACATATATGCTAGAATTAAGGTCAAATTGTGATTTTTTTTCAGAAGCTCATAAAATACAAGTCAGTTTTAAAATAACTTATTTGTAATTTAAAGATTAGGACAAATTATATTAATTTTCAAACGCCTACTATGATTTTTCACAGCAAGCTACTTGTCTATTTTCTTTGGACCAGTGAGCTAGCTGGGAATACATTCTCACAGCAATGGTAGAGGCACAAGAGGGCACACTCAAATACAAAAGCACATTAAGCATTGACCAAAGGCATTTTTCACTTTCCCATTCACTTTCTTGAGGCTAAGTTGTGGAAAATCGTACTGCCCCATGAAAAGTTGGGGGAGTATAAATGAACTATTTTTGAACAATAATATAATCAAGCGAAAGGGCTATTATATATTCCATTTGAGCCAGGATGGTAGCTTGGAATAGATGATAGTGACGAACATGGAGAAAACTGTAAAACTGCTGATATTTAGAGAGTGATATAGATAGGATTAGGGATTGGCTATGCTGACTCTGGGAGACGGTTTGTTCAGAAGGTGCCAAGCAATATTCCTGGAATATAACTTGAATAATTTGATTGCCGTGTTTGGACCTCCATAGAGTGAATAGTGGAAAAGATGAGGGTAGTTTTATGGGTGGGGGTGCAAGGTTATAAATAACTGTCATTACTTTTACGATTTTTTAATCATTATTATTATTGTTATCACCATTTTCAAAACTCGATGAGAGTATACAGCCTTCAGTGCTGTACTTCCCATGCTTGGTGCAAAAACTGAACTTTTATGTCTTCCTAATATTTATACATTAAAGCCTAAAACCAAGTGATGGTGCTTGGAGGTGGCCTCTAGGAGGTGATTGGGTCACCAAGGTGGAGCCCTCATGAATGGTATTAGTGCCCTATAAAAGAAACCCCATAGAGCTCTCTCACCTCTTCTACTAAGTGAGGACACAGTGAGAAGACGGTCATCTGTGAACCAGGAAGTGGGCCCTCACCAGACATTGAATCTGCCAATGCCTTGATCATGGACTTTCTACCCTCCAGAACTATGAGAAATAAACGTTTGTTGTTAAGCCACCCAACCTGTGATATTTGTGCTATAGCAGCCCAAACAGACTAAGATACTTGGGCATGAATCTATTTAAGGATCCTGAAATCACTCAGCTATGTCCAGGGCTACCATTTCTTTCCTCCAGCCAACAGTACCTATAGTATTGTTCATCCACCCTTCCCTCCCATCTTTGTATTGCCATGGTCACCCACCAGTAAAAATTACTGCACCTATTTACCATGTAGAAGTTGCCTTAGATCCCATTCTCACCTTCTGTTATAAAACTTTTTTTTTTTTTTTTTTTTTTTTGAGGCGGAGTCTCGCTCTGTCGCCCAGGCAGGAGTGCAGTGGCCGGATCTCAGCTCACTGCAAGCTCCGCCTCCCGGGTTCACGCCATTCTCCTGCCTCAAGACTCCCAAGTAGCTGGGACTACAGGCGCCCGCCACCTCGCCCGGCTAGATTTTTGTATTTTTTAGTAGAGACGGGGTTTCACCGGGTTAGCCAGGATGGTCTTGATCTCCTGACCTCGTGATCCACCCGTCTCGGCCTCCCAAAGTGCTGGGATTACAGGCTTGAGCCACCGCGCCCGGCTTGTTATAAAACTTTATGTGTATCTGTGGACATAAACACATACATGGATTTTTGAGTTAATTGTCCTAGTTTTTGTACTGGGGATATACTTACATTATCATCCTCTAATCACTTTCAGACTAGTAAATTGGTTTGATCTTAATTCCCATTTTTGTTGTTGTTGTTGTTGTTGTTTGTTGTTTGTTGTTAGTCTTGCTGTGTTGCCCAGGCTGGAGTGCAGTGGCGCAATCTTGGCTCACTGCAAGTTCCATCTCCTGGATTCAAGCGATTCTCCTGCCTCAGCCTCCCAAGTAGCTGGGACTATAGGCGCCCGCCACCGCACCTGTCTAATTTTTTGTATTTTTAGTAGAGACAGAGTTTCACCGTATTAGCCAGGATGGTCTCGATCTCCTGACCTCATCTGCCTGCCTCGGCCTCCCAAAGTGCTGGGATTACAGGCGTGAGCCACCATGCCTGGCCCAACTCCAGGTTTTAATTTTCAAAAATATGTTGTTTCCAATATTTCTGCCTACGTTCATCAATTGCATCTGTAAAGCAAGTATTATAGCATCTCCCATACCAAACCCAGACATTGAGATACTCTTTCCCACATTGACCTCAGCACCCCGGAGTCCTACTTGTTCAGGAGGTAGAATTGAGAAAAAAAAAAATTATATAGACTTAAATTTTATATTTTTAAATGTATCCAAATTGTTGCCATTTTGTCAAAAGCCTACAACATTAAATAATTTGAACTGCATTTTGGTAACATATGAAAATATAGAAGGTTTTTACTATGATAATTGTAAACTATGATTAGTATGATAATTTTACTATAATTGTTATTCTCAGCCTAGAAATCAAAATGAGGCTTAAAAAACAGGATCAAGAAAATAAGGCTTGCTTCCACTTAGAATGTTATTACTACTGCAGTACTTAAATTGCCCCTACATATATTAATGGTTTGTACCATTTAGTTCAATACCAGTGCAAGTGCATCTAGATCTCACACCCACACACACAAATGCAGACTTGTGCCTGCACATTCAATGTTTGACAAATTATTTAGCATTTTCAGCACAGTTGCACGATGTATTTATTAATTGCCTGTAAAAGCAGCATAATATGTTCAGTAAGTGCCAGCTTGCCGTATATTGTACATAATCACACATTTGAGCCATACAGTTGTTTATGTCATTTTATAATCATGCTAATAATTACCAGATAACTAAATTATTCCACAAACTATAAATGTTACATTTAATTACTTTCTCAATTTTTGCACGTTGCCATGGAGATTCAATTGCTAACTCAATCCATAAATTCAGTTCTTTTATAATTTCCATCTGTATCAATATGAATGTGGAATGAATTAATAAAACTGGGAAGCATGTGCAAACAACTTAGCATTTTCTTGCTATGTTTTCTATTCACATAGCTTCTATAGGATGCCGTGAAAGTTTATCAGGTTCTCTCTAACATCTTCAAAGCATTCCTGAATGCTGAAAATTAAAGGAAGAAGAATAAAATAAATCTTTCATAGGATACAATTTCCACCTTCTGTCAGGAACTAACTGATTAGAAAACTCTTTATAGGTTAAACCAACCATTACATTTTTATGATTCTGTGTATTTCTAAACATAAAAAATAAAGCTTTCTCACTATAATCTATCCCCATACAGTAAATATTACGATGGTCCATAACAACAGTCTGTGCAACAATTTATCATATATGTTTTTGGGGTTTTTTTTTACAGTATCTTTTTATGGTGCTGAAAATTTCCCTAAGAATATTTCTTCATCCAAAATTGTTTAAATCTTAAAAGTATCTTGTGATAAACATTGCATATGTGCCAATATTTTCCATAAAACAGCCAGGATTCATCTTACAAAATTTTGAATATAAGAATTTGGGTTGATTAAAATGAATTGCTCTTCCATTAGGTAGCAGGTATTGGAAGTATTAAAAAAAAAAAAGTGGAGTCAACATCACTTGAAGATTCTGATTGTATTGAGGAATTTAAAATACATTAAAACATAATAAAATCTTGAAATTTTGTATATACAAAGATAATGTGTCAGTATCCTATATATTTGGGAAGATATTCACACTAAATGTCCCAGTCCATTCCAGGATTACTTATAAAGAAGGAAAGTCTAAGACACTAGAAATGCTCAAACTTTGATTGGACTAGATATATATAAATGCGATCTATTGATTCATTCATAAATATTCATTTATGCAATTGTTGATTCAACATGAATTTAGAAAATAGTTGTTACAATGTTACTATCAATTTTATAGCATAGTGCTCCAGGTTTCAGCAAATGTTGGGGAGAAGACATTAAGTGAATGCAAGAAACATAGCGGGAGATGGAATGTTATTAATGTCATAATATAAATAAGGAACTAAAAAATTCAAAAGAGGAGAAATTGAAATTATTTCAAGCTCCTGGAAAGACAAATTTTTTTCTCTGTAAAACTGAGCACTCCATATAATAATATGTAACTAAATATCAAAACATGTGGCCAAATAATTCCAGATAACATTAAATCTTCCCTGGATTATTGATAAAGCCTCCCACCCAGTTGTATCGCTTCTAGTCTGCTCCTTTCCAAGACAAACTCTAGACAGAAATTGGAGACATTTTTCTACAGCGCAAATTGTGTATACTGACTTTCCACTTCTATTTTCCAAGTTTTCTCTAGAATTAACTCTAACATCATTAATATGGCATGAAAGTGAATTCTGAATGACATCTTTGCTTAGCTCTCTGTTTTCCTATTTTAGCACTTTCTCTTTACCCTTTATCGATATCACCTATATGGAATTTTAGTTTAGGTCTCAGATACATCTTTTATTTAGCTTCTGGGTCTCTACATTTATAATCTCTTCTTTCTAAAAATATTTTCCTCCTTTCTGTGGATAGTTTCTAGTGAAGCCACTTGTCACTGATTAGAAATCACTCCTTAAGAAAATGTTCCCTACGACTTGAAATTGTATTAGGTGCCCTTCCTGTGTCCTTATGTAGTATCGTGCTTTGCCCATGATAGTATAGAACCTAATGAATTTTTTTTCTTTGTCTATTTTCTCTGTAAGACCATAATTTCTTTGAGGGATTGAATTTCTCAGCCTAGCATTATGTTTCTCACAGTCTTAGATAATAAGTAAACATATAGTATTATTCATTATTCAAGAAATATTAAAATAAAATAAAAATTAGCATAAGTTCCTTCACTAAAGACTCTTGAATCTGAAACCTAAATCTTTAAAGACAGTAAATCTTTAATGTAAATGTCATCTTCCATGCTCATGAACCTTATCTAGCCTCAATTATCTAATCCATGTACAAGACTAAAATATGAAGGGTAATGTTAGACAATGCAGATTATAATTAATTTAGCATCTAATCAATATATAACTAAGCAATTGTTCATAGAAAAGTAGGCTTACCATTAAAATTCAAAAATCAAGGTACTAACAAGTCTTCTTTATTTCATTTGTATTTTAGATTAAATTAGGAAAAGATAAGCAAATTAGCAAGGAAATAAGATATAAAAGCACTGTGACAGATAAAATAATTTTTGAGTTATTTTGCCAATAAAAATATCAGTTAAAATTGTTTAATACTATTGAAAGTTATCTTTATATATATTCAGACATATATATACACACACGTACATTATAGTAATGCTGACTAATACTTGTTATTCATATTATGGATCTAATAAATTCTCAATCTTAACTTTTTCCCTACCAATCTTTACCCCTCTTCAGAAACTATTGTCTTCATTGTTTGCTAAAAAATCCAATAAACTGCCAAATGTTCCTGGAGGCTTCTCTGTGGTGTGGGAAGACAGTCACTCTCTCAGCCAGCCCTATAACTTTGATATTGATGCTTCTCTCCCAGGGGCTGCAGTGAAGATAAATTACCAGTTGTCATTTTTCTAAAGATGCCTTTTAGCTCTTCAGACTATAGTAAATGAACAAAATGACTTAAAATAGTAATAAATTGGGGTTTATCATTAATGCCATCCCTGCAGTGGCATGTCAATATCAAAGGGCACACTAGCAAAGAAAACCACTAATACTAAACTTCAAGCTGAGGTACGTCTTGCCTAACAACTGAGAGAGAAAAAAAAATCAAGCATCGTGAGGGGAATAGCAAGTGATCAGCAGGAAAATTAAGAAACAAAAGGGAACACATAAAGATGTACAAAAAGACAAATTTGGTTTAAATTTTAGGCCAGAGAGGACTTTTCAAGTACACCTGACAATTCAGGTGCTTAGAATGGAATAAGAGTTCTCACTATGAACCCAATTTGTGCAAATATAGTGTGTTGCATAGTTGGTTCTCAATAAATACTGCTGTAATAATTCAGATAAATCTGGATTTCTATCATGGATCTATTTAGCAAAAGGATTTGGTGACCTCTTTGGAAAGAAGCCATGCTAAGTGATAAAAGCAGAAAAGTCTGAGGGTCATATAATGATATTTATTGAATTATTGGAGGCCAAATTCATGGATGTGTATCTGATTCCTGAGCAGGAGGAGCTGTTTATGGAAACACAAAGGGCTATTTCACTAAAAATTCTGTGACATCTGGGACATAGGAAACACTTCCTTGGGTCTAACGTAAAGCAAGTGAAGTAAGAGAAATTATTCTCACGTTAGTGCTAAGACTATATAGTTCTTCTGTTTCAAGAGCCCCAGAGTGGAGAATGCAAGTTTGGTATGTATCAGAGAGATGCAGTAACTTCCATTGAAAAACTTAAGTTACATGAGTTTCTCTTTATGGTAGGAGACCATATTCTTGATACAGATAACTACTATTACGTGCATTGATCAATTAAAAATAAGTGTCTGACATTTAGTAAAAGCTCAATAAATAACAGCACATATCTTTTCTTCTACTTACCTGTACTCCCTTGATGATTTTATAACTTCTTATAACTTTAAACATCCCATGTTACCCTGTGACTCAGGATATATCTTGAGGTAAAATTAACAGGAATTGTCTGGACGGGCTATAGAGGGTGAAAAAGGAGAAGTTAAATATGACTCTAAAGATTTTTATCTAACCAAAAGAAAGAACTGAATACCTATTTACTGAAATAAAAAAAAAAAAAAAAAAAAAAAAGCCTGCTGTTGGTAACGTTTTGAGGTGAAAGCAAGATTTCAGGTTGAAATATATTGTGTGACATGGTTATTAGACAATCGAGTATTATAAAGTCAAGTTGAATCTGGAGTTGAAAACAGCAGTCAGTGCTAGATATAAATTTGGAAGTCATCAAATATGAGAATTAATAAGATCACCAAAAAAGGTGCGTTGACAGAAAATAAGAAAAGTTCCCAACATCTGAGCACTAGGACATTTAAAGTTTTAGAGGTCTGAGAGGTGAGAAGGAATCAGCAAAAGTGAATACCCACAGTGGTGATAAAAAATAAAATAAAAAAGGAGAATGTTTTTCAGTAAAAGCCAAGTTGAAGGAAGTGATCAACTTCTAACAAATGCTGCTCATCTGTGAAGATGATTTCTCAGAGTCAGTCACTGAAGCCAGCAAGGTTAACAATCACTGGTAACATTGATAAGGCATGGCTAGCTAGTCTATACTGTGGCTTTGTGAAAATTAGGGGGGAAAATGCCATTTCCACTGGGTAGATAAAGACCCACATCAGGGTGCATGGTAAAGCACAAGCTAGATTTCATCTTCCATTTGCTACATACACTTTAGTGAGAATATGCAGAATGAGCTACATCCATGTAGATAAAAATGATTTCAGTGATGTTGTGGATCTGAGAAAATTTTGAGGGTAGATTGAAGAGAAAATATGATGAGATAAATTAGAAACATAAATGTGGAATAATTATGGAAAAGAAAATTTTGCTATTAAAAGAGAGAAATCGAGTAGTAGTTGGAGAAGTAGAGGTATCAAGTGAAGATTTTATTTTTAAAATTGTAGCAGATGTTGCCAGTGTCCTAGCCACATAGCTGCAAACTCATTTTTGTTGTACGCACTGGCAGTTTCCTATTGCAACTCTATCTTCTTCCTGAGGGCTTTTGCTCACTGCAGGAGCATGCACAGTCAGGTAGGATGGGCTCGAGAATACTGCCTCAGCAGGTATTAATCAACCAGAGTGGGTGGGAATGGGTAAGTACCCTCATGTCCTAAATTCTTTTTATGGCTAATGGTCAAATTCATGAATTTTCTTAGAATGTGTTAAAAATAATCTCTTATGTTGTGTAGTAGAGCAAATCAATGCAGTTTGTGGTAACCGGAATGTAAATCTTCTCCCAGTAAATAATTTTTTTCTTCATTCCAATGTCATAGAAGACCGCAAATAGTTTGCTTATATTTGGCAAACACAGTATATTATTCTGCCTCAAGGAGGCATCAGATTTTGCCTTGTATCCTATTTAGTTTGTGAGGATTAGGCTCCTCACCAACACATTGAATATTCTGATGCAATCACCACTGGAATTTCGAGAGTGGGAAGTAGCAAGCACCTTGGATGCCTTGGGAAAACTCATGGTTGGAAGATAAATCCGTCATAAAAGAGGTACTTTTCATCTCAGTGATTTTTCTGTGAAAATAGTATTCTGAGACAGGCTGAAAAAAATTTCCCATAAAAGGAACATCCCTAAATGATGCAAAACTGCAAATTCAATCTATTTAATTATGCATTTTTACTAATACATATACATGTGTTGTGGCATTGTAAAGTGTATTGCTAATGATAATTAACAATATGTAATAGTATAATTAAACACAAATTCCTTGACAATTTCAAAGCCATAATTTTATTTTATACTTCAGTAAAATGGATTAGGAAAAATGGATTTCTTAAAAGTATACACACAGCCAGGGACAAACATACACGCAAAGATTATATGTTACATTAATAACAAATAATAGTTGTTTTTTTCTCCAAAACACAGATGTCAGGAGTTTAAAATATTGAATTCACATGTTACTAAACAAAATATAAAAGTTTAATGCTAATTAAAATAGCATTGTTTATGTGAATAAACTAAGCACTTCTTTCTCTTTTTAAATCACTATTACCCGATTCATTTAAAATGTAGTTTATAAACAACCATATCTATGACACAAGCAGCATCAGGAATTGGGAAAACACTTTTAAATATGAATACTAAATACAATATTTCTGAAAACTGTAAATTCTTAACTTTGGTTTTAATACTTATTATAAATTTTTATCCCCATTTGTTACATTTAGTGAATTTTTATCTGATTGTTCTCTCTTGCTCTGGGAGACCGAACAACTTTATTTACTTCATCAAATATTAAAAACATAATTATTCATTTAGTTAGAAATACAAAAACATTAGCAAAATATCTGAAGGAGTATTTTTGTCCTTAAGGTTTCATATTTACACAATTTAAATTATTGCTAGTAATTTGCCTCTAATAAGCTGGACTCTACTTTTCAGAAAGATGATTTAATAAAGTTTTGAATTATAAGTAATACATTTTATATATGAAAATATATACCAGATCTGAGAACAGGTAAAATAAGAAAATATTACAGTATTTATATAATATAAAGAGATAATATCTAATGTTATATACCTATGTATGTGGTAGATAAATGTAAACAAATGTTATACTTTATGGTACAAAAATCTGTGGGCTTCCACTGCAAAATTAGAAGATAGGTGTTAATTAGTATTATTTTCCTCTGCTACCTTATTAGTTTCAAAAGTGACATACTTTTCACCTTGTCAATTTGAACATACTTGTATCACCTTTGGGTTGGATAAATAATTAATGATGAGTAGATCATTTTTGTTAAAATGTTGTTTATGATATCTTTATTGTTCAAATTTTGGGAATTTAATTTACATGCAAAATAACATACTTCTACTAAAAGTATGTGCTGAACATGAAAGGCACTGAAAAAAAGAGTTTTTCCTTTCATATCTAACAATATGTTTCACTCATCTTTATTATAAGAAAAAAATTCCAATTTAATGTAAGATGTAACTGAGGATACCTTTTAGTTTGGTGAAATTAAGCAAAATGCATAAGCATCTAAGACTTAACAACTTGAAATAAATGTAGGTACTATTCCAGGAGGCTATACTCTTCCAGTTACCTCTTCCTAAATGTGGGTGGATAGGAAAACCTCAGTAATGTCCCCTTATATTTTAATTAAGTTTTTATTGTCCCCATAGAAGCTAAAAATGTAGGCTGATTGTTATTAGCAATCAAATTTTGGCTAACCAGATAAGAGTAAAAATATTTCAGGCCTCTTCAAATTTAGAATAACATAATTCATCACCAAAATGGAGTGATTCTTCTGGGATCAACATGTATACATCTACTCAGATTATCAGTTTCTGTATGCCATATTTTGACCCCGCCTATTGTTTAAAAGTTTCTAGGTGTTGGAGTAAGAATGAGGCCTGAGTTTTCAACTTTATTCTTCTTTGTAGCAGTCATGGAAAGGGCCTAAATCCTCCAAACCTTAATTGACTTATCTGTAAAAGTGGAATAATTGTATCTTTTTTGACAACACATTCTATTGGTAAGACAGTCTCACACATTTTCACGTAGGGGAAATTAGCAATGTCTAAATAAACTACATCTGCATTTGTCTCACTTGGAGACATTTATCCTTAAGATGGAGATCAGCAAATGCTCATCAACAAATGCAAAATATATATGGAATTTCCTTGTTTTGGTGGCATTAGACATTTTTGAAGGGTACTAGTCAGGTATTTTGTGAAATGTTTCTCAACTGTAATTTGTCTGATTTTTTTCTCATAATTACATTTTGGGTTATGGGTTTTGATAAGGAAGACCACAGAGGTAAAGTACCAATTTCATCGCTTCATATCAAGTCGACATCCTATCAACATGACTTCTCACAGTTGATGTTGACTTCTCTTGATCACCAGGCTGAAGTAGTGTTTTTCAAGTTTCTTCACTAAGTTACTCTCTTCTTCCCCTTATCCACACTGCACACTTTGGAAGGAAGTCCTTGTGTGCAAACCAGACCCAAAAAGTAGAGAGTTATGCTCTCTTTCTTGAGGGTGGAGTATCTAAAATTGAAATTTATTTGAAATTCTTCTGCACAGATTTACTTCTTCTCTTCCATTTATTCAATAATTGATTTATTTCCGCATAGACTCATGGATATTTGTTTTCATGGTTTGAGTTATAGTTTAATTCTGCCTTATTAACATTGTTGCTCTGATTGTTCCAGCTCTGACCAGCTCTTTCAGTGAGTTCTTGTGTTCTTGTGTCCCATGTGCTTATCGCCATCACTCGCATTGTGGTGTGTATGTGTGTGTGTGTGTGTTTGACCATTCCCTTCTTACTCTTAGGCTTTACAAAATGCTTCATGCTTGTCTTATATATTTCCTGCTACAGTCCTAGAATCAGCCATTTCCCTAAGTTACCTAGAATTCCTTTATTGAAGAATGGTATTTGAAACCAAGATTTGGGCACTCTATGTGCTAGCTGCTACTAGGGTATGGTTGTTTCTAAGCCCTCTCAGCTAAGAACAAGAAAATGGATTTGTGTACACTAACCCATGTGTATGCAAATATCTGTAAATATTTTTCTTTGAAGCCATCTCTATATTATGCTAAACATGAGTTCATGCTGTTTCCAATCCTAATCCATCACCGCATAGATTATGCTGGCTTTCACCCCTTACTTACTTCTAAATTCCCAGCCCAACAATAAGAAATGTGGCTCCCGCCGCCATCATACATTTATGTAATTATTCCATCTCAGTATACATGTGTAGCAGTATCAAAATGTTACACTATCCTCCAGTGAGAGACAACTTGATCAGTTAGAGTACGGTGCTTATGTATAGTTGGATTTGCCTTAGACATGTAGACTCTATTCATTTTTAGAGTTACTTAGGTGAGCACCTTTACTCCCCACTCCCTTCAGTGAGGTGATTTCATATATTTGTCATACAGTTAAATTATGTTTCCCCATTCTGCGTTCCATATTGGCATCCTTGACCTCCTAAATTATTTTA